AAATTCGGCTAGGTTTTATGGTTTAGTAAAAGAGTCTGGGCCAACTTTACACTAAAATATGAATAGCTAGTGATGCTGACAAACACGATAGGTTCTGATGGAACATTACTGAGAGAATATAGTGGTAGCGGGAAAGTTGTAAAGTCAGAAAAACCTGGGTTTGCATCTCAGTTCTCTCAGTGATCAGCTGTGAGAAATCTCAGAAGCTTCAATAACTCTCTGAACTTCTGTTTCTGCCTCTATAAAATGAGGATAATATGTACCCTATGAAAGGAGTAGGGACAATGCAAAATATCTTATGTACCATGCCTGGCATATAGTAGGTGCTCTCTTTCTTTTAAGTGAATGAATCATAACATCAGGGATCTCAAGATAGTATTGATGCCAATAAATATCTAGTTGGTGCCCTTCCAGCCAGTGTGGCCACATAGGGGACACTCTGGAGTATGTAAGGATTTCCAGTGACTCATAAACTCTCATCTGCCAACCACCATTAGCCTAACTACACAAGAAGTCACTCACTACACACCTCCCACCTAGTAAGTCCTCCTGCACTAATAGAGTCAAAAGATGTTTCCCTTTTGTCCTTGAAGGAAGTGTTTAATCAGCAAATGAATGGGCCAGGGTAAGAGTAGGCTGAGATGTTTAAATTGTGATATGCTCATTTTTAGCACTTAAAATATTTCAGCAAATATCACCACAGTACATGAACTAGAATTTTCATTATTCAATATAACTGATAAAAGGGTGCTTTACCTGATTTTTAAATTGTCACCTTGATTATTGACTATACTGGAAGACAATCAACTTTAAAAATGTAAACTAAAAGACATGAAAATAATTTTTAAAGATAATCGTTAAACTACATGTTATAAGTTCTTTTCAGAATAATAGCTCATTAATTTTTAAATAAGACCAAAAAAGCTAAAACAGGAATAAGAATAATAAATTTAAACAAAATAAAACTTAACGTTTTTGCCAAACATAAACCAAAAGGCAACCAGCCACCTGAGAGATTTCCCAACACATGCATCCAACAAAGAAAGTAAATAAGAGAGAGAAATCAATAGTGAATATTAGCAAATAATATGAACATGCAATTCCTGGAAGAGTAAATCCACTGTTCAATAAACAGAAAAAGATGTGTGACCTCACTAAGAGGGAAAATGCAAACAAAACAAAGAAACTACCACATTACACTCCTGGAATGGGCAGAAAATGGTGAAGTGTAACATTACCAACTATGGAAAAGAATATGTCATAATAGGAACAACCTATATCCTGCTGGCAGGATTAGAACCTCATGTGACCACTTGGGAAAGCAATCTAGCATTATCAAGTAGCTTGAGAATGATCACAACCTGTGCCCCAGGCATTGCACAAGTGTGCCTTATATACTTACTCTAGAGCAACATTTTCCAAAGTGCTGGTGCTGATCAGCAGTAGCAGCAGCACCTGGGAGCCTCTAAGAAATGCAAATTCTCCAGCCCCAGCCCCAATTTAATGACTTAAATGGGAGTGCATTTTTAAAGAAACCCTCCAGCAGATTTGGATACATGCTAAAGTTTAACACTTTAACTGTCATGTGAGTTATAACACATGAGATAGTTTTGAGCTAGTTTTGAGCCAGTTTTAAGCCCAGGGCCTGGTGAAGCAAAATCTGGGCAAAACCCTGCAGTTGGTTCGTGAAAATCTGACTTGTTGATGTTCTCACTGTCACAATTAATATTGACAAATTAATTCTAAAAATATGGATTAAATGAATACAAGTCAATAAATTTCATTTTTCATTAAATTTCTGATTAAATTAGAAAGGATCATTTGGTTTTCCAAGTTTTTATTCTGTGTTTGTAATAAAACACCATGGCAAATTTTTGTTTCTAGTGTGGCAGTCAATGTGTTAAGAACAAACAGAGAAACTTCACACATTAGTTCTCCTGTTCCAACAGGAGACTGCATCAGAAGAATCCTAGGGACATTGTGGTTGACAACATTCTCTAGAAAGGTGTGTCTGGCAGACCTTGGTTTACTAGTACGATGTCACTTGAGAATCAAGGGATAATGTGCAAACATCTCATTTCCTCAAATGGACACATTTCCACAGAGATATACACATAGATGTATGTATTCATACAAATAAAGTATTTAAAACCATCTAAACACCTACCAATAGAAGAATGGATACAATGGTATATTACGCAGCAGTTAAAATAAATGAGGTGGATATATTAATACATCTATCAGCTGGGATAAATCTTAAGAATATAATGCTTAATGAAGAAAGCAAGTTGCAGAATGACAACTATGGTATGATACCATTTAACATCAAGTTCAACTCTCACCCCCCAGAAACTATCTTATTTCTGGATAAATAAATGTACATTTATATAAAAACATCAAGGATGTATAACTGGGAATAATACCCACTGATCTCAAGATAATGGCTGTCTATGGGGAAGAAATGAGGGGAATGGGATGGAGGAGGAGTTCAGAGAGAACATTAAGAATGAGATTTTATTTTTAAAAACTTGTCAATTTTTTAAAAAGTAAAAGTATAATATTTGTTAAATCTGGTTGGGGATAAAAGACATTGCTGATATTTTGTGTACTCTTTTGGATATCTGAACTACTTTACAATAATTTTTAAATTTAAAAGTTGTTCTTTATACTTGTAAATGCTAAAAAACCTTATTTCTGTATAAGAAGAAACCTTTCAAAATGACTGCAAGAGTCTTTTAAAAATTGATTCTTTGTGACATCTAGTGGTAGCAGAAATAGTTATAATTTCATACCTCAAAGAGCTATAAGTAGAACTACCATTTGATCTTGCAATCCCATTAATGAGCATCTACTCAAAGGAAAAAAAGACATTCTATGAAAAAGACATCACTTTATCACTTGAATGTTTACAGCAACACAATTTATAATTGCAAAGATGTGGAAACAACCTAAGTGCCCACCAATACATGAGTGGATTAATAAAATGTGGTATATGTGTACCATGGAGTTCCACTCAGCCACAAAAAACAATCGTGATCTGGCACCTCTGGCATTATCCTGGATAGAGCTGGAGCCCATTCTACTAAGTGAAGTATCACAAGAATGGAAAAACAAGCACCACATGTACTCACCATGTGCATATATAGTAGTAAGATTCACTGGGTGTCAGGCAGGTGGAGGGGGAAGGAGGGGATGGGTATATTCACACCTAATGGGTGTGGTGCACACCGTCTGTGGGATGGACATGCTTGAAGCTCTGACTCAGGTGGGGCAAAGGCAATATATGCAACCTAAACATTTATACCCCCATAATATGCTGAAATAAAACATAAAAAAACAAAGAAAAAAATATATGATTAGAAATAAACTTGATTTAATGCATTAATATCTGAATACTTGGTTTAATTTCATTTTCAAACAAAATTAATTTTCAAAAGCTTATGTTTTTGTTGTTTATTTGCTGTTCACAATGGCCTATACCTAAATATTTTTAATGAGGATGACACTTCAGAGTAAGTTCATTATCTTGTATACATTAATTATGTGGCTCAGCTGCAAGCCTCCTGAAAAATACATTAATTGTGCCAGTTCTAGTGTCCCCAAAACAGGCAGCCTCCTGCTCTCCCACTCTCTGGGGCACTGAGAGCAACCAGAAGAAGCTCTGACCTTCTCCTTTACACCCCACTACACACCAGCTGGCTGGCTGGCCCTCCATTGTGGGTTGCTATTACAGAATACCACAGACTAGGTAATCTATAAAGAAAATAAATTTATTTCTTACAGTTCTAGAGGCTAGGAAGTCCAAGGTCGAGGGGCCGCATCTGGTGAGAGGCTTCCTGTGGCATCATCCCATGGCGGAAGGTGGAAGAGCGAGAGAGCAAGAGCGGGCCCAACTTCCTTTACCACAAGCCCACTCTCACGCTAACTAACCCACTTAATCCACTCGTGTGAGCACAGCCCTCATGACCTGATCACCTCTTTAAGGCCCCACCTCCCAACACTGTTGCATTGGGGATTAAGTTTCCAACACACGAACTTTGGGGGACGCATTCAACCATAGCACCATTTTAGCAACTGGGCTATTCTGTTCTCACTGCCTCAGGAAAAGTATATTATAAACAAACACAAAATCTAAAAAGACAGGCGTCTGCCTCTGGCATTTGTGCTTTCATACAGGTGCCTTTAAGAACAGAAAGGACACATACCATAGACTTAGATTCAGAAGAATTTTGTAAAGGAAGTAATGTTCTCCCACCAATCCAAGGATACATTAAAACGTCAAAGGGACCAAGAGTGTGTGGCCTGTAGCCAGTGAGATCTTCCCCTTAACAGCTGCCCAAGTATTTGACCTCCCTCATTGTTCTGGAAAGCACCCCGTTTCTTCACACCCCAAAACTTTGTTTGGTCCCATTTGATTCACTCTATGTGGAAACATCCTACAACATGCCTGGACTTCATAGACCCCAAAGAGGAAGGGGGGTCACTGGTGACCCAGTTGGGCAAAGAGGGAGGAAGGGGAAGCCTCCACATCTGTTCCTGGGTGTGGATGAACAAACTAAGCAGGAGAGTGAGCTCCTTCCCCTTCCAAGCCCCACCACCTAAGTGTAGATTAAGTGGCTCTACAAAGCATCACCTCCCAGCAAATTGGGGAAAGTTTGCAGTTCACTCCCAGGAAGAGACGCCATGTATAGAGCATGCTGAATACTCCTGAGCCCTGCACAGTGGTGGCCTTGTCCACAGACAGCAACTTGCCTCTCAGGCCATCTTGCTCACACACAGATGCACACGCTATGTCAGCTTGTCTCCCTTTGCCCCTTTTGGTTGTTTCAGCAAACTCTCCCATTTTCCCAATGGAAACATACACATAACCAGTTGCACTAGGGGATACAATACTACATGTTAAGGCTACCCTTCAAGCCTATGTGTAAAGCCGACTTCAGAGAAAAAAAGAAGTAGAGTTGAAGTTTGGAGAAAAAACATACAAACTGGGGACCTCACGATTAGAAACAAGCATAAGAATTTATTGCTCTTAGGTTCGTTGTTCCTACAAATCTTGATCAATGTTTAATGAAACCTAAAAGCAAAATAAAAAGTAAATTTGCTTTAATACAATTAGAACTGCCAAAAGGTACAAGCCAAAGAAAACAGAGTTTAGGTAATTTCTATGTGACTATGGGAATGAAGCCAAGAGTTTCAGACAATTTCAAATAATATTAAAGTAGAATGTGATCATAAATTATGCTTTCAAGGTAGTTATTATTCCATCCCTTCTTCTATTTCTCTTGCTATGCTTTCTCATTCTTCTTAGATTCTCTTCCTGTGGCCACCCCTTAAACATTGGGATCTCTAATGGTTTCTCCCTGAGCCCCCAGGCCTGCACACACTGCACACTCTCCTAGGTATTGACTCACTCCCCTTGTATCATCTATCACATATGGCCATGACTGTTGAATTTATATCTCCTGTCTGGGCTCCCTTCCTGTCCTCTAGGCCCACAGCATACGTCAACTGGTCTTGGCCATTTTCACCTGCATATCTCAGAGCTCCCACAAAGGCAACATCTTTGCAACTGAACCCATCATTTTCAAAAAACTACTTCCTCTTCTAATGTTCATCAACTTATCACATGGTAACACTCATAGCTCATTTGCTGAGGGAAGGAATTTGGGATCTCTCCTGACCCCTTCTCCCTTATCCTGTGAGCCGATCTCAAATCCACTCAGTTCTCTCTGTCTCTGCTTGTCAAACCCTGGTTGTCTTGCAAGTGGATGACCACAACCACCATCTAAGTGGATTCCCTTTTCCATTCCTGCCCCTCTCCAATTCTATCTCCACCTTATAAAAACACAGATCAAATCCTTAAATCCATTCAATAACTACCAAGGCACTTAAGTCCAAAATCCCTAGCAACACATGGACCCAGCATGACCTGGCCTTTCTCCACCTCTCCAGCTATAAATCACACCTTTCTCCTGACTCCATGCAACCCAGCCACAATTTTGACTATTTCAGTCCCTTGAAAACATCTTGCTCTCTCCTTCCTCTGGGCTCATCTCGGGCTAATCTCGAGCTTCACTTCTTCTAGAAGATTCATCCAGACTAGATCAGGTCTCCCTCTCTGTCCCTCAGAGCACCTATCCCACTGGCCCATGCCCTCAGTGATTTTGCACTGTGACACATCATAGCAGACATTTAATAAAAATGTATTCACAACAGACTAGCACCAAGTCCACCCAGCTCCATGTTCTGAACAGCTCTTGAAAACACCACTGGCTGCAGGCTGTCTATGTCTTGTTTCTCTACATTACTACCATGGCCTCCTAACTGGTCTCAGACCAACTTCTCCACTCTCTTCGCCTTACTGTAGCCAGATGGTCTTTCTAACACGCAGTTCTGGACATATCAGCCCCCACTGCCTTTAGGATACAATCTAAGCTCCTGAGCAGGAATTACAAGTCCTTACTTGGTCTGGTCCGTGCTTTCTCCCAGCCTCATCCCACAACCCTCCCTGCTTCACTCCCTCCAGACCACCTCCTCTCTGCTCTCTGCCCGGAACACCATCCTCAGCCTCCCACGTCACCATTCAGTAACAGGTCACTGACTTTATCTGGGAAGCCTTTCCTGACCAAACTTCCTTGACTGTGCCAGCTGCCCTGCCTTGTCAGTACACACTGACTAAAGTCACTCACTCTACACTCCTGCCACCACAGTCCTGGTTTACACCTGCTGGTATGGCTCAATTGTTAATATTCTCCTAGCATCCTCAAAAACACACCAGTCTGGACAATAAATTACCTGGTCACTCTAACAATGACTATTAAACGCTTGTCTAATTGTCTGTTCCCTGCCCTACAAGGTATAAGACTGCCTTATTCACAACACCATTGGGCACAGTGCAGGGCACACAGAGGACATGATATGTTTGTTAAGGGATCAAATGTACTTATATACTATAAAAGCATGCACTGTCATTAGGATATTTATTTGGTCATAGGGTTTGCTACTGAGAAATAAAATGGTAGCTCCCCCACCACCCAGAATTTTAAGATTAAATATTTCACACATGATTTTAAGAACACATTTTGGGCGAGTTTTGCAAGTTTCAGGGCCTAAATTTTAGATACAGATATGCCAGTGACACATGTCACAAAAAAGCAGACTGTCAGTTAGGAATATGGTCAGCAACCAGGGAACTGGGTCAGCAAGAGGTTCATTTGTCAACCAACCCTGGTCTCATTTTCCCTCGGCTTTACCTAAGTCTTTAAAAAATCTGATTTTTACAAAACATTTTGATACTTACATCAGATAACACTGGCTCATCAAGTTCTTCCACTCTGTTCAAATTAGGTGCTACATATTCATCATTATTTTCATCCAGTGTTTTGCTTGAGTTTTGTGCTGCCTCCTACAATCATAAAATCCATTTTCACTTTTAAGTGCCTTCACAATTCTGGGCCAAGCACAGACTCAAACCTATAACCCTAGCACTCTGGGAGGCTGAGAAGGAGGATCACTTATGGTCAGGGGTTTGAGACTACCCTAACAAGAGTGACACCCTATCTCTACAAAGAATTAAAAAATTAATTGGCTGTGGTGGTGAATGCCTATAGTTCTAGCTGCATAGGAGGCTGAGGCAGGAGGATCACTTGAGTCCAGGAGTATGAGAGGTTGTAGTGGGCTATGTCGATGTCACTGCACTCTAGCTGGTGAGACTCTCTCAAAAACAAAAATCACCTTCACAATTAGTGTATGACTTTTCTTTCAATTTTGTAAAACATTTCTAAATTACATCAAAATGCAGCATTGCTAATTAATGGAATTAACCAATACCTGTTAATGACAAGAGAATTCTAGGAATAAATGCTAAAACTTATAAAAATACGTGCAAAAATTCAAAATACTTATAAGTGATTATATATTCAGTATCTCGCAATATTCTAGTTCTTAAGAATACAAACATAAAATGAATGTCCAATTGTTATTCCCTTTGAGATTTTGCTTCAAAGCACATATTTATGACTTGTTATTATTACTGGAATATATATTTAGACTAGCTGTTTTTATATCCTTATTGAAAATTTAGCTACTAATGCATCAAAATTAAGCTTTACATTCCAGAATACTCATTCATTTCATGTAACAGAGAATGACTTTTTCTTCTCACCTCTGAATGAGAAGCATCTTCACTCCTACTCATATTTTCCATATTCATTTTCATCTCCTTTAATATATAAAAATGAAAAAATATTTAGAATATGCTTCATTTTGATTCCATGTTTAATTTTTAAGCATTTTTATTTTTACATAATGCCATGATCAATTGAAAACAAAAATGCTATCACTCTGTGAGGAGTGATATGAATAAACTTATCACAAAACTGAAGATCATAGCCTTATTTAATACTCTATACTAATAGAAGATACTGTTTTATATGTAAAATTTATAAAACTTTTTAAAAATAAAATGGACTGAAACATTTCAACTGAAGCCAAATTATCAGCAAATGGGAAAAGTGGCAAAATAAAAATTCGAATACATTGTTAGAAGAGGAGATTTTAAAGAGAACTTAGAGTTGAGTTTTGCACATAGTATGAAAGAATATTTTTGAAGGCACTAATCCGGCCCAAGTCACTACCAAATGCATAAATCTTCTCCGTCGTACCTGAGCACTGCCCTCTACGACACTCTGAACAGTACAGTAGCAATGTCCTGCCCAGAAGGGCAGGCCTCTTTCTGAGTGTGAAGATGTTCCTCTAGCCAAGCCAAGCCTTGGGGCACCCATCTTTTCACTCCAGGGCAGCCGGGTGATCTAACTGATCCTGAGCTGATTTGTCTGGCTGTTGGAAGATTAGTGATCTCGTGATCATACATATGACCACCCTAATTGCAGGGACATATATGGTACTGTTTTCCCAAGACCAGTCCATTATTCTGGTAACTTCTTTTTTTTTTTCACCCCCACGTAAGAAGGGTACTGTGCTGTAAGTTGCAGCAAGGTTTGAGGGCTGCGCATCTCACGCATGCGCGTGAAAAACCAATCCACGCTCAGGAACCACAAAAGGATCACCTGGTAACTTCTTATCCCCATATCCACAGGCTACAGTAGGAACATCAATGTTCTGATAGGATAGATAATGTACCCCAGCCACAAGGATGGATATTTCACACAGACTAAACTGGTCAGAATCCTTCCCCAAGATTTTTTTCTTAACTGAAGCCAAAAAATAGAATCCATGCCTCTTAGATTACCGTAGGAGCCACAGCGCTGCGAGTCTCGGGAGCCATGAAGGACCACGTTTCTCCCCATGTGAGGCGAACCAGCCACTCTGAGAGAGACTGAGACTGACCTCTAGAGGGCAGCAGAGGCGAGAGCCTGGTCGCATCTGATTCTCTTGCTCCCAAAGCTCTGGAAGGCCCAATTGTACCAAGAGTCCTTCACAGCGTACATGTTGAACTCTTTCTTCAAACCAGGATCCTTCAAGTGAATTTCCTTTTGCAAGTGATATCTAAGTTGTGTGTCAGCAGCCACAAGAAGGCCAAGGCAAAAGACATGAATGGACTTATCTCTGAGCAATGGGTGAAGCAGGGGTACTGTGGGCGGGGGACAGGGAGTAAGGGATGATAAGCCAGTGGGAATGTGAATCATTAAAGTCTGTGACTCTGGTCATACAGGCTGATGATGCCGGGAGATAATGAAATAATATGAATGCAACACCCTGGAGCCGCAAAGCAGAGACTGATCCTTCCTATAGACTTCTAAGCATTCAAATATAGCTATCAGGTCATCTAAAAAAAAAAATACTTTAAATTTCCTTATTTTGATCATTGTCTTCTTGACACATGTTCCTGTTTTTCCTTTTCTTTTTCAACTTAGGTAATTGAATTGTTTTAATTTTTATGAATACATAGTAGTTGTACATATTTATGGGGTGCATGTGATATTTTGATAAAAGCATACTGTGTATAATGATCAAGTCAGGGTAATTAAGATATCCATCACCTTAAACATTTACCATTCTCTGTGAATTTTAATGAAAGAGAAAGAAGATTCTTAAATGTGTGTGTCCGTATGTGCATATCCATATGCTCCGGCTACACTCAGACTAAGAAAACATCAACATTTGTACTTTTCAAAACTATGTATAGGGCTTCAATTTATCCTTTAAAATCCTTTTTTAAATTTAATTCGCCTTCACACTTTTAAAAATTGCTTTAAATAATGATGCTCTCATCTAAGCATTAATAAACATATTGAACATATTCTGTAAAACCTGCTTGCTTTTAATTTTAATTTTCTTTTTCCAATTTAATGAAATAAATAATGGGAGCATCATTTGAGTAAGAGATATTGGCTATAAACTCAGTCAACCAGATGTTTAGTCTATATGACATATACCTTTTGGATACCAGGGAATACTGGTCAAACTAGAGGCTTCACAGTATATAGACAAAATCGATGAAGATGGGCTTTTTAGAAATAAGTTACTGCATAGTTTATTTTAATGAAACGCATGAAGAATCCAAAAATATGTTTAAAAACATATTTTTAAATGTAAATCATTATTAATACATCTAACATGAAGAGATGTACTGTTGTCTCAGAGATCAGAATATCCTCAATATTACAAAGAACTCAAACTTCAACACCAGCGACCATCATTAAGAACACCTAACTTTTGACTAGAATGTTGAGGGTATCACTATTAGAGAACTCTACTGCTCACAAAGAAGTTTCACATACATGATCACACCTGATCATTACAACAATCCAATGAGATATTGTGATAACATTATCCTGCTATCCCTAATTTCCAAATAGGGAAACCAAGAAGGAAAAAGGTTACTAATCTGTTGAAGATACACAGGTAATGTGTAACAGGTCTTTAGATTGATTATGAAGTCCATGATCTTTCTGCCATAATAGCTGGAAGAAACAGGTTGAGGATTCTAAGAAGTTTTAAATAAAATAGACATTTATAAAACTTCAAATTACCTTCTCTAATTGTTCTTGAGCTCTCCGTAGTTCTTCTAGTCTCTGTCTCTCCAACTTCTGCTGGAATGTCAGCTGTTGCTGAATATTCAGAAATAAATGTCATATTATATAGTCAAATTAACTGCAAGATAATTAAGTTTATAACCACCTAATTTAATAAACTTACAAAAATAAATGATCACAGCCACCTAATTCTCTAGGTTTCTGTCAATGCTTCCTAAAGCACAAAATTTTAAAAAGGAAGCTTCCTTAATTGCTAATTGTAGGAAGCATAATTTGTACAAAATCAAGTCATTTTTCTCTGTTCTTCCTGAAGTTAAAAATGAGATTACAGGAATTTTCTCAGACAAAATCTCTTTAAGCATAGATGGGTCTTCATATAGCCAAACGTTGGTTGTAGAACAGTGGGTCAGAAAATCTTAAGAATATTATCTGAAATCATGGATAACCAACAATGTATTTGGTCCCAACTCAATATATATGTCACACTGGTAGGGGTCAGCAATAAAGTCTGTTTTTGTACAGTCCATGAGCTAAGAAAGGTTTTTATAGTTTTAAATGGTTGGAAAAAATCAAAAGAATAATGTTTCATGACATATAAATATTATAATTTCAAGATAATGTCCATCAAAAAGAGAAAGAAAAATAAGAGATAAAAAATAATAGTATATTAAATTCAAATTTCAGTATCCTTAAAGTTTTACTGAGACAAAGCCATGCTCCTGTGCTTATGTACTGTCTATTGTCTATCTCTGCTTTTGCACTATAACAGCCGAGTGGAGTAGTTGCAACAGAGACCATACATGGAGGCACTGTCATCGCTTTGCCCTGCTGCTCAGCACACTACAAATTGGTGACATCAGTACAACGTTTGTAGCGCTACACTATCACTATACTCTGACGTTTTAAAAATTATATTCATCATATCGAAACAAAAGGTGAACTCTGTCCCACTTTTAAAGCAAAATGGAGTGTAGATTATTTTGTTATCAAATTAAATGGCAAAATATGGCTTTTATTATACAATGACACTGTGCTAAAAGAATACAATAAGCATCAGCATTACCAGACTAAGCACTCATTACAATATTGCCAACTCACATGGAAGCAAAGGTCAGAAAAATTAGAAAACTTAAAACAGAATTATCACAGAAGAATTTCTTCACAAAAATTAAAAATGAAAGTAAGGCTGCAACAGAAGTAAGCCTCCAAGTAGCTGATGTGTTATCCAAGCAAGGAAAGACATTTACCAATGGTGAGTTAATTAAAACATGTTTGATTTCAGTGGCCAAAAAAATGTGTCAAGAAAAAACTAAGCTTGTTTAAGATTTTAGCCTTTTGGTGAGAACATTTGTTCAAAGAGTTGACATTGGGAACATCGATAATCAATAGAAAATAAGAGACTGGGCGCGGTTGGCTCACGCCTATAATCCTAGCACTCTGGGAGGCCAAGGTGGGTGGATCGCTCAAGGTGAGGAGTTAGAAAGCAGCCTGAGCAAGAGCGAGACCCTGTCTATACTAAAAATAGTAACAAATTAATTGGTCTACTAAAAATATATAGAAAAATTAGCTGGGCATGGTGGCACATGCCTGTAGTCCCAGCTACTCGAGAGGCTGAAGCAGGAGGATCGCTTGAGCCCTGGAGTTTGAGGTTGCTATGAGCTAGGCTGACGCCACAGCACTTTAACCCAGGCAACAGAGTGAGACTCTGTCTCAAAAAAAGAAGAGAAGGCATATGATTTTGAGTGGTTTTCCTTGGCTCTTGATGAGGAGGCAGATGTTCCCAACACTGCTCAGTTGTTTATTTAAAGAGTTGATGCTGAGTCTGAAAGGATTGAAGAACCAGTCTCTACAAATAGTCTTCATAAAAGAATTGAAAACAAGAATATTTTCAAAGAAGTTGAGAAACACTAATTTAATACAACCGAAGTGAAATCTGCTAAGATGTGTTATAACCAATGTTGATTAAAAAAAAAAAATGTTCCCAGTCTTGGGAATGTCTGTAGTGGCTCACGCCTATAATCCTAGCACTCTGGGAGGCCGAGGTGGGAAGACTGTTCAAGGCCAGGAGTTTGAGACCAGCCTGAGCAAGAGCAAGACCCCATCTTTACAAACAATAGAAAAATTAACCAGGCATGGTGGTGCATGCCTGTAGTCCCAGCTAATGGGGAGGCTGAGGCAGGAGGATTGCTTGAGCCCAGGACTTTGAGGTTGCAGTGAGTTATACTTGCACCACTGCACTCTAGACAGGGCGACACAGTAAGACCTTGTCTCAAAAAGAAAAAAAAATGTGTGGAATAGAAAAAGGATGAGCCGAGCAAATTTACAAACTTATGAGAAAATAGAGTGTTTAAAGCCTGTGAGTATTCATCATATTATTCAACAGCAGCTACTCTACAGAAAATATTTGAATCTGTCATGTGTTACTGAGCCAGTATTGTCAACCCTGACCTTCATTCACTCTTGTAAACTTGACCATCATCAGTTCTGTGAACTGCTGTCAGAAGAAGAAGCTGAATGTATCCTAACTTGTCCTACCACACAGCAGTTCCACGACTTAACAGTGGTAATGTTTTATTGTGAAGTTTTGAGCTCACAGCCAAGTTTTATGTTTTCATTGTATAAATTTAAGGTATATACAGCATGAGTATATGTATACAGACATATATATAAATATAAATATATATACAGTGAAAGGATTACTACAGGTAAGCAATTTAACATACCCATCATTTCACACAGTTACTTTTTTATGGTAACAGCACCTAAAACCTACTTTCTTTTTTTTTTTTT